CAGTAAAACCAGTTCTGAATATTAAGCATTGCCTCATATTAAACACAGCACTATTAGTCAATGTAGAAAGAAAATGTGTTTTTCATAGCAATTTAAAAATCAAGAATCTAATAAAATAGATTGTGCATGTGTGACCAGATGATAGAATATTTCAGAACTGCTATTTAGCATCTAGCATAAGTTTATTTTATTTTATTTATGTATTTATTTATTTATCAAATTTATATCTAGGCATAAGTTGCTAAAGAAAGTATCAAACTGGAAAAAATGAACTGAAAATATAAGAGAAGATATGAATAAAAATGTCTGAGAATGGAAAGCAGTGAAAACTAAAAGCCCCAAAGCTCTAAGTCTTGATGTTCTGAAATCAAAAGAACCTGAATTTCAAAATCAAAATTTCTATCTGATTAAGATTACAAATCAAAATGCATACCAAGAGTAAGTCACTTTTAAGGTCAGTGAGCTTTTCTTATGAGTTAGCATTTATTTGACTGAATGCTATGGCTTCAGTTTGATTGAGCTGTTATAATAACTGAGAAACGGTTATTATATATATTTGCAGGTGTGCTATTCTGGTCTCATTTGTTTCTTTCATCTTCTGCAAATCATTTTTGGTATGAAGACACCTTTAACTTGTACAGCTAGGCAGGATAGTGTGAAATATGCCAGCATTTTTCAAACTGCATTCCATGGAATTCCCAGGGTTTCATTTGAACTCAATGGGGTTCCGTGACAAATTAAAGGGGAGGAGAAAAAAAGTTCACTCAAAAGCAGCAAATTTTATAACACTAGAGCTTTGCTTCTTGATCAGGGATTTTGAGAAATTTTTCACTAACAGGTTCTGTAGTCTGAAAAGGCTTGAAAAACCCTGATGCTTGATAACATCATTAAGAAATAGATTGCAGGCATTTCCTGTACTTGAGGCTTCTGGCTGTAGTTGGTACTCAAACAGCCAGATTTATAGTTGCTTTTCTGAAAAGAAAATCCTAAGCAATTTACCTGTCTGGAGTTTATAGTGGTATCAAATTTGAGGATCTGCAGGCCAACATCTCCACACAAGATTGGAGTAGGTTGTTGTAGAGAACATGTGGGGTAAGGGTGCCACCATGGAGCTCTGCTGTCCATTAGAAGGCACTGCAGAAAACGTGGTTGAGGAAATAGGTATGAAATGCACAAAGTGATCCTCTGCTATTCAATCCATAAATCAATCCATAAAGGCATATTGAAAACTAGGAGTACACAACTAAAGGATCTCATTGAGATTAAATCTGCTCTTCTTTTGAAAAGCATCTAATGGCAACAAACTGGTTCCAGACAAGTCTTAAAAAGTATTTAAATTTAGGAATGATATTAGATCCAAAACTAGCATGATAAATTCAGATGTTATGAGGGGACTTTAATTTACTTTGGCTAATACCCCAGCTTTAGATGAGATTGGATAAAAGGAGTCAAAATGGGCTTCTCCAAAAGAAGGTACAGGAGTTATCATGGAGGGAAGCACAGACTAATGTCAGCCTCTGGATATGTATGGTAATTGGTCCTTCTGCCTGGTATGGCACCTTTCTTGGACTGTGGGACCACCTCAGTCCTCTGGGAAGGGTCTGGGAGTGTGATATGTTGGATACACTCTATAGCCAGGGATGTTGCTGCTTCATGATCACCAGACTAGGTAGGAATGAAGGTCTGGACCTTTCTTGTGCATTTGGGAGACATGGAAGGTTTCAGGGGCAAAATATGTCATTTTTAGGAATAACAATGCATTTCCTTCCTTAAAATTGCCTGAAACCCACTGGCCCTGGTTTTATCCAGTTTTGAAGCACAATCCTCAATTTGCTGCAGAGTCTAGTGTGACTCTTGTGCTGACTGAAGTGATGTACCCTTGTGCTACAGTCTTGCTTTTAAAAAGTGACTGAAAGAAGGATAGGATTCCAAACTGGTGCAGTGATGGACATAAGTACTGGATGTCATGGCTACAATCTGTAATTGTGTCCAGATACTTCTAACATCAGAATCCTAGACAACTGACTTTCATATTAATTTCTCCCAAGTTTGTCTTACAAACCAGGCTATCATATTTCAGATATAAAGGATACAAATACTATAATCCATAAATATGCTTCAAACATTTATGCCTGTCTATGATTTCTGAGGATTTCAGAGCACAGGGATCAGGATAGTATCAGTTCAAAGTCTGCCTTGATGCTTTTACCCTTACTTTACTAGAGAGTGGAAGGATGATGAGCAGCAGAGAGTGGCAACAGATGCCAAATCTGTACTTCAAAGAGCTTTTTTTTTTTTCCAATATGCCTCTGGGCCAAGTATCAGCTTTAAGGAAATTCAGATGATAGCTGTACTACAGATGCTTTTTATTTTACTGCTAAGTCATGAAAAGAATAAATAAGTATTTAAAAGGCAAAGCCCATTTTAATCCAGCAGTTTGTTTCTCACAATGGCCAACCAGGTCCCTCTGGGGTATTTGCAAACTCCCCTCCCCTGTTGTTCTCCTGCACCTAGTATTTGGAGGTGTGCTTCTCCCAAGATGGAGATAACACAGCCTTTGACAGATTTATCTGCCATGAATTTAGACTTTTAAAGCTACCCTAGTCAGTTTCCAACACCATGTCTTGTGGCAGTGAATTCCAGAGGTCAGCTATATTCTGTGCAAAGAAGGTCTGTTTTAAATCTCTTTTCAGTCACCTTCATTGGATGGTCCTTGGTCCAGCGCTGTGAGAGAAGGAAAAATATTTTTCTTTGTCCATTTTCTCTATGCCATGCATGACTGGATGTACCTCAATGATTTCCCCCTTCAGCTGCCTTTTTTTCCTAAGATTCCCAAATATACCAGATTTTTCTCATAAGGAAAATATTCAATTGTCCTGATCTTTTTGGTTGCCCCCTTCTCCCAGTTCTATTCTAATTATTTTCAAGAACGGTGACACAAACTATACACTGTACTTCAGATGTCTGCATACCATAGATTTTCATGAGAACACCACAATGAGTTTTATTTTCAGTCCCTTTCCTAATTATCCCTACCATAGCATTTACCTTTTTCACAGCTGTCATCCACAGAGTCAACATCTTTGTTATGCTGTTCACTATGACTCCACGTTCCTTTTCCTGATTAGTTAGAGAGATCATTGTTCAATGTAGGAGAGCATCAGGGGATACAGTAATCCCTTAATAATTGTCCACCAAGCTGGGTTCTGATGCTGGTCCTGAAAGAGACAACATTACCATCACGTTTATATAATAAGCCTATGTGGCACGGTCACACTATGCTGAGTGCTTTGGCTCAGTTTTTAAAGTACTGGAGGTGCAGTAAAGAAGTGTGGCAGCTTCATTTCACTCTTTAGATATGGGGGTGGATGGGGGCATGCTGCTTCATGATGGAGTTTCAAAACAGAGCTTTAGTTGAAGAATCATTAAATCAAAACACCCCTGAAAGCTTTGCACAGCTGTATTATTTATATCTCACTTTTCAAAGCATTTCAGAACAGCCAAGAAACCATCAATATGTGGATACAAAGCAAATGTATAATACTCTTAATGATATGGAAGAAATAATATAATTAAGTGCATAGATTTAAGCTGCCTGCTCCTCCTGGAGTCATTAGGGATACACCTGCATGGCTGGCTACAGATGGGGCTTTCATTCACCAGAAAGAAAAAAGAAAAGTGAGAGAAACAGAGAGAGAGAGAGAGAGAGAGAGAGAGAGAGAGAGAGAAATCCAACTTCAGATTGTTGAGAGGTTCGTTTTTTTTGAAAAAGAACTAACTTTTTTAAAGAAACCTCCAGAGCAAATGGATCTTAATCAAAAGAGACTAGATTCTTCATTAGGGAGCATAGATTTTGAACAGAACCAGGAGTCAAAATACACAGTGAACTCTGAAAATCTAAGCAATCAACAAATAGCAAAATATTCCTACAAAAGTCCCCCAAAGACTTTCATTTCAACAGCCAACAGCCACAGCTAGACAGTGAAGCTGTCTGGCAAATCTCTTTGGTGAACTATGGGTGTCACATGCAATTCATGACTATAGTTGTTGTCTTGTTTCGTCTTGTTTTGTCTTGTTTCTAATCTCCACAGTTTAACAAACTCTGTTTCATCTGTTTAATGCAGTTCAGAGAGATGATCTCTCTCTGTCTCTCTGTGTCTCTGTGTCTCTCTCACTCTCTCAGAAGGTTGGTGCACATACAACAACAACAACAACAACAACAACAACAAGTCTACCAGGTCTGGGGTGCAATACCTGGTTGACCATTGGATGGCACTAAATAAGTAGTGTTTTCTGAATATCTTTGCTGCCACCTTCTGGTTCCCTGGAGTATTGCAGCTCAGATATGGTAGCCTTAGCAAAAAGAGCGTATTTTAATTATTTTGCATGCAGCATTTCATTTTCCAGGTAGCACCACTACAAAAAATCATAGGAAGCTTCTACTATTGTATCATACTCTCTTCATATTTTATGAAATGCTAATGTTAGGAGGAATTTCCCCCCCCCCCACTTCATTCTGGTCTCTGAAAGAAAAAGAGCAAGGCATTCAAAATCATATTTTCATGCTTATCAGCAACATTAAGATGAAGAAGAGACTAACTAGAAGTAAATCAGATTGCCCAAAAATATAATTAAAGAAGAAAATGTGCAATATTATAGTCTGATTTTGTGCGTGTGCATGTGTGTGTTTGTAAATTGACCTTAGAGCTTTCACTGTAATCTGAGGTAAATTTAGAATGCAGGGTCCTTGCAGATTTATGTTACACCTGAGCAGGGCTGAATGCCAACATGGGTCTCCAATATCTTGCTGATTTACAACTGATTGTGTTGGCAAGCTGCATTGGAAAGCACGGTGCTTGAGGAAATTTGAAACTTTTTTGGGGGGGGTCTGCAATAATTCACTCATACATGCAAAACACTACTCAAAGATGTAGTCATGGAGTGTTGGAACAAGGGTGTGTTCACTTTACTTCATCTTTTCTGCTTCATCCCTGCTACAGCTTCCAAATGGTGCCCAAAGGAGTCTGGCTTGTCATGGGGAAATGAGTGACTGTCAATAAAGCCTCCTGTTCCAGAAAGGGCAACTGGTATACAAGATGGTGCTGTTCAAAGCCATCATAATTACAACCTCCACATGCTTTTTGAACAGGACCCATAAGTCCAAGATGGCAGGCCTGTTTTATATGGGGGAGCACCACCGCATCCATAGCCAAAGATGGAACACTTTTGGAATCTGTGGGATCCTGAATCCACAAGCTCATCAGTTTGACAAGGTTGAATCTAAATCTGGGCCTTAACAGTTCCACACACCAGAAGAGAGCCTCAATATCATCTCCTGTGCAGCTCAGCCTGAAGATACAGATGTGGACTTCATCAGCATATTGGTGATACCTCAACCTATTGTGGACAATGACCTCCCCAGAGGCCTCATGTAGTATGGGAGGGAGGCTGCAGCCTGTGGCAGCCCACAAACCCATTGCCTAAATTTCTCCCTCTCTCTAGAACTGGAACTGCCCATTTAGAAACAAGGAAGATCACTGCAAACTAAGATTCCCCACTCCCAATCCTTGCAGATAGTCCAGAAGGAAACCAGATTACAGATGGATGTCTATTTCATTGGCTACTTTATTGAAAGATACCTGGAAACCAATCTATTAAAATGGGTTCATTCTATATCATTTTTCTAATAGCACTCAAAATAATTAGTTATAGGTAGGCATTGGGGATACATTTCATATTTGAAGAGGGGGGGGGGTGTCGCAAAGTAACTGGGGATTTGCAGTATCCTTGGCTGGAGCCAGAACTTTCCATTTGTTGTTTTTTTAATGGTGTGGGTTTAAGTTTTGTGTTTGTTACCCCAAAGGCTGGTATAAATTTTTGTAGCCAGAGAAGGCCAGGGGGTGGGGGGGAGGAAAAAAAAAAGAAGCCCGGAAGACCCACACCAGCCAAAAAAAAAAAGACTTTATGGGTTACATATAGCCTTAGGGCATCCACACCCATAATAAGATTTTTCTTGATTATCTGTAAGTCCTGCCAGAATTTCCAATATGGAAATCCTGGTGATGCTCAACAGCTGATGAGATGAATAATTTTTCTTAGAGAAGGTTATTTATCCATTCCATTCTCATTTTAGATGTAAGGAGGAAAAGTTTAAAATGGAAGTATAAGAAGAACATGATTATTTCATTGCACTTATGTATATGGATCTGCACCTAGAGATAGCAGATGATCAGTAGCAGTTAATTAAAAGACAGTCTAATAACCTACAAAGTATTTTCCAACAATGAGTGTAACTTAAAGGGAAAACTCTTGTCCTTCTTGCAGTTGACGGGCTCTGCAAATTTTATTGCATTTGTTTAGAATCTTAAGCATGCAAACAGCTGACATACCATGCCATCAGTTAATGCTGAGGTGTCCTAGGGCATTATAGGAAGGGAACAAGTGCTGGGAATAGCCAGAGTGTGCAAGATTGATTGTCTATACGGTTTTATGTATGTGAGCTGGAGTTATCTTTATTAGAACAGCTCAAGAAACATCAGGCTGCAGTAAAATTATCTTGATAACATGGTTTTCCTGTTGTAGACTGTTATCCACTTCCCATGGTTGTTGTGATAGGCTCAAGGGAGTCTAAAATTAATTACTCACATTTCAGATTTAGCAGTGAGAAAATAAATAGCAAGATGAAAATAACAGAAGCGTGCCCAAGGAATATTAATGTCGTCAGGGATAATTAAATGATTGGGCTTTTGTTTCATACTTTACAGCATGATCATGTATATTTGGAGTGGCCTTCACATTCAAAATAGTGTAAGTTACCTGCAGTCTTTTTTGGCAGTATTGTTTTGCATACACATACTGTACATACGTGTGTGTGTGTGTAGTTTGCAAATTCTTTCAGACACTGATAAGGTTTCCTTGCAAATAACAATAGGTTTATACACATACTACGGATTTGGGTGTGGTGAAATTGCCTCATGAAATCTAAACTGCCCTATTATTTCTTTTCCAAGACATAAGTTTCACAGGGATATTTAATTCACATAAAATTGCTTCTGCAGTAATGAACTGGCATATGCCCTATTTTTTACTGCATGTACAACTTTGTTAGTTTTATCTATGTATGAGCTGGCGTATACTGTGAATCAAATTATTTGTTGCTTTCACACTTTTAGCTACGTAAAAGAGTTTGGGGAGAGAGGGTAAGTCTATTTTGACATTTGAATGGAGACATTTGAATTCCATGTCGGAGGACTAAATAATTAGGTCATCTCCTTTATTCAAAGGGATCTCTCAGCAATACAGTTTTGGGTGGGTAACTGAGAACAAAATTATGATTGTGCCTCATCAAACCAGGCTTTATAATCAAACAAGTAATTCCAAGAAGCCAGCAGCAGGGAATGTCTAATTCATTGATACCAGTGAGATCAGAGATGAATTTGGCAGGAGTCCTGTCAGAGAGGGGAAAAATTACAGTGAAAATTGTATTAAAAGAAAATGGTATCTATTTGCCATTGTGCAGAGTTCAGAATGAGCCTGAACATGGCATGTCTGGTGATCAGTGAAAATGACTACATTTGGAGGAACCAGGATTTAAATTTGTCTGGATATCATTTTTACTGCATCTCAAATAAATACTGCTACAGAAGTTGTTAACCAACAAGGAATGAGTTACTATTACAGCTGGAAAAATATATTTAGTTTTGCATGTATATTCAGTTTTAAATAAATTCTAACCTCTTTCTGCATTTTATGTATGTATGTATGTATGTATGTACTGTATGTATGTATGTATAGATAGATATTCCCTAATATGTGCATTTTTGTACATATTTTTTGGCCCAACGGCTAAATCCCGAAAGCAGAAAAGGGCACAATCTGAAGGATAGCCACATTGTTTCCTGTGTGTTGGACCATGAAATGGAAATTAAGATTGTGCCCTTAAAAATATGAATCAGATGTTATTCTATACCAGTGTTTCTCCCCATGCTGGCTGGGGAATTCTGGAAGTTGAAGTCCACATGTCTTAAAGTTATCAAGTTTGAAAAACATTGTTCTATACTATCTCTTCCAATCATTTAAGATGCTATGAACAATTTGCGTTATGCAAAATTCAGAAAGAAATGTAAGGTCTTCCATATCCAAAATATCTGAAGGGTTTTAATGGACATCAAAAGGGGTCTGAGAACATTGACTCATCACCAGTTGCATGTCAAGTATTTTTTTACTAGCCATAGAAATTAGTGAAGAATGTTTAGAGTTTCATGCAGTTTCATGCATAAAAGACAGAGTAGGTCTTTTATATTTAAAACTGTACATAAAATTTCCCCCTCATGATTACAGAAATGCTTTGAGTTTGAATAGGCACTATTATTTTTCTGAAAATAAATCTGCCTTATAATAAGGCAAGTGTTAGATGAGTTGCTTGGCAAGTGGGCAGCCATGCAAACTGAA